TGAATCAACAATTAGTCACTACTCCCACATGTGCTGTTGACGCTGGATATTGATATTGCTAACTCCTTCCGGATATCCAAACACGCTTTGCAGAAATGTCGCATTTTCGGGCGGCATAATCTGCGAGGATATATGCTGCATCTTAACCCTTTTTGGTCTTGAGTTTTCGCCTTCGATTTTCTTTTTTCGATCCGTCATCACAGTGAATTTTTCCCTGGATGATGTATTTTCCGAATTTGAAGCGCTATTCCTTAGGCCAGGAAAGGTTTCAAAGATAACATTCACATACCAGTCAGCATCTTCCTGAAACTCGTTCGAATCAGCGCAGTTCATTGCGTTGTCGAGATCATAAGCTGTCAGGACTTCCGGTTCCACCACAACATCCTGGTGAGAAGCAAATGAAGGATGTCCTGCAGCATTCTCTAAATCAGTTTTAGCTGTTTCCAGTTGGTATTCAGACTGTTTAATTGTTCTCAGATCTGGAGTAGCTTGTCTGCTTCCAGCGCTCCCCATCTCTTTCGTTTTCACTGATACTTGTCTCGAATTAGGCTTTTCTCTCTGCAAAGTGCTCGAGATTACCCAATCCAATAAATCCGCCTCCATTTCCGATAATACTGATGTTGCATACGCTTCCTCATGTGATACGCACCCGACACCACTGTCAGCAAAAGCTCCAGTACACTGTACAGGCAGATTTCGTGAAATTGCAAGAGGATCATCTATTGGTTGTATGGCTGAACATCTTGTGCAGAAATCGGCTGAAGCTGGTGAATTCGCTAACAAATTTGTTTGCTTTTCTAATTCGGAACGTGGAATTTGAGGATACTGACATGGTTTTGACTTAACACTCAGGAGCTGCTCTGTCGATGGATTTGTATCATTCATTTTTTTCATGCGATGGACGATGCAGGCTTTTAAAATCTCACGGGGCAGTGAATTTCCGTTCTGCGATCGAGTATTTTCTGAATTTTGGTGAAAAAACTGTCCAGAACTGTGAGCAGTGGGTCGTGTTTCTTCTGGGTTCCCCTGTGTTATCCTACCTGAGCAAGGAAATATCATCACTGGTTCAGAAAAAGAGAAGGCAAGCTTTGAGGCTTGTTGCTGCTGATCCGAATGCAAAGAAACTATTGGAGCATAGTGCGACTCGGTGGGAATTAGTGCAGCCTGTGCTGCAGAGGTACCTTCCTGTGCTTGTTTTCGCAAAAGACTCACTAGGACTGGAAACTTTAGTATAGGCAAATTAGACTGCTGTTGCTCATCCTGAAGGTTCCTTGCTTCCATACGCCTCATTTGCTGAAAACTTGTCTGTCCTTCTTTATTACATTCATTCCGCTGGTAGTTTTTTGGATCAAACGAATCACGGTTCGAATGAGACCTTCTGCCGCATTCATGGGATCCACTGATTCCGATGTCTGGCGCGCTTCTGATTCTGGAGATGATCTTGATAGCAGCTGCAGGTATGTGACTTTTCTTCGAAACTGCAGCAGTGGACAGTGCTAGTGCAGGCAACACCGCTGTTCGAGGCGAATTTGGCCGATCTAGGCGCTCCAACCTTTGCGATGTTTTACCGTGTGTTATCATATCTAATGAACTTCTTTTTTGTTGTACACCAGAACGTGATTTTGAAAACTTTTCATCCTGAAAAATTGAAAATTTCTAGTAGAGAGAATTGAAGAAAAAGTAGAATTAGAGTAGTATGGTACTAGATGACTTGGGAAAGAGAGTAGTAAAAAACTTTAAATATAAAAAGAGGCGCACATTTTTGCGTGCGTTTTTGCGCTAAACCTGAAACAATCAAATCGTCACTAGTATGAATGGCTGTTGCTTTACATTTTAACAGTTGTTGGCCGTCCTTTTTAATCTTTTCGTCCTTGCAAGGAAAAAACGCCTGGGCTGGGACGGCGGCGTCGCATCACAGGGTTGCGTGAAATCTTAATCTTCAGCATGCATGGTTGCCGTAAATTTTGCATGAGGGGGTGTGTGATTTCCAGTGACCGACTTTTCATGTATGTGTGATTGTGTATTTGCCCACATATTCCAATTTTTAAATCTACATGAATGTTTAAGTCTGAAGTTTTGGCTATTAGTTCAGTACTACGGATGAGCCTCTGAGCGTGAAATGCATGATTACGTCTTTTTATTTTTCACACTCAGACTCGTAAAAATTTTTTGGCGGGAAAAAACTTCAGGAACAAGACAAACAGAAAATTAAAATTTTACAGGGATGCTTTCTATTCACGGGCAGGAATGCGAGCTTAGAGTGTGCTTTCACGTGGGCGACAACTTGCATGCGGTCATGTCAAATACCCATTTGCAAAATCGTCAGCATCCTCTTCTTGCGGTACCCATAAATGCAGGAAAGTTGAGAATCCGAGAGTGCAATACTGCCAGCTTAGCTGATGCTGTTCCAGTTAAATGTGAAAGAAAAGACCAACAAGAACGTTTTCAGCA